ATATATGTACTCTAACCAAATCTATGAAATATACTTATGATCATGCGACTACTTAGGACTGGGCAAAAATAATCAATATATAATTTTGATTATCGAATTTTGTAAATGATTAAAAGTCAGTTAAATTTGTTTTTTTCAACATGATCTGCTACATGGTAATTGGACGAGTCACATCAGATTATATGTGATGATTATATATTTTAGAAATTCTATGAACCAGATATCAATAAATGACAAATTTATACAACCATATACATCAATAGACGGAAATCAGAAGATTTCTTCATTAAAATTTTTGATCAGTAGCCTGTTTTCAATAATCGATTTCAATTTGCTAATTGATTCTTGACCTCAGTTTATTGTCAAAGTTGAAGTTGAAATGTTCGAAATGTAATCATACAATCTTTTCAATTTGTAAACCTCTCAAGAATCAGACAAATATCAACCTCTCAAGAATCAGACCAATATCAACCTCTCAAGAATCAGACCAATATCAACTTCTCAAGAATCAGACTAATATCAACCTCTCAAGAATCAGACCAATATCAACCTCTCAAGAATCAGACCAATATCAACCTCTCAAGAATCAGATCAATATCAACCTCTCAAGAATCAGATCAATATCAACCTCTCAAGAATCAGACCAATATCAAGTTGTGCATCTCCAGACCAATATCAACCTCTCAAGAATCAGACTAATATCAACCTCTCAAGAATCAGACCAATATCAACCTCTCAAGAATCAGACTAATATCAACCTCTCAAGAATCAGACCAATATCAACCTCTCAAGAATCAGACCAATATCAACCTCTCAAGAATCAGACCAATATCAACCTCTCAAGAATCAGACCAATATCAACCTCTCAAGAATCAGACCAATATCAACCTCTCAAGAATCAGACCAATATCAACCTCTCAAGAATCAGACCAATATCAACCTCTCAAGAACCAGACCAATATCAACCTCTCAAGAATCAGACCAATATCAACTTCTCAAGAATCAGACTAATATCAACCTCTCAAGAATCAGACCAATATCAACCTCTCAAGAATCAGACCAATATCAACCTCTCAAGAACCAGACCAATATCAACTTCTCAAGAATCAGACTAATATCAACCTCTCAAGAATCAGACCAATATCAAGTTGTGCATCTCCAGACCAATATCAACCTCTCAAGAACCAGACCAATATCAACCTCTCAAGAATCAGACCAATATCAACCTCTCAAGAATCAGACCAATATCAACCTCTCAAGAATCAGACCAATATCAACCTATCAAGAATCAGACCAATATCAACCTCTCAAGAACCAGACCAATATCAACCTCTCAAGAATCAGACCAATATCAACCTCTCAAGAATCAGATCAATATCAACCTCTCAAGAATCAGATCAATATCAACCTCTCAAGAATCAGATCAATATCAACCTCTCAAGAATCAGATCAATATCAACCTCTCAAGAATCAGACCAATATCAACCTCTCAAGAATCAGATCAATATCAACCTCTCAAGAGTCGTCAAAATCTGTCAAGAATTGTGCCTTCTAGAGTGTTTACGAGCTAAAAATTGAACGCGTTTGCAAGAACAAGGGCAATAATTCATACTAAATATTTTTCGATTTCGCTGATTTTCAATAGGGTCTATCTTTGGGTGATTACAAACACTCATACCAAGTTTCTTCAAAATCTGTCAAGAATTGTGCCTTCTAGAGTGTTTACGAGCTAAAAATTAACAAGGGCAATAATTTATGCTAAATATTTTTCGATTTCGCTGATTTTCAATAGGGTTTATCCTTGGGTGATTGCGAACACACATACTAAGTTTCGTTAAAATCCGTCAAGAATTGTGCCCTGTAGAGTGTTTACGAGCAATTGTGGACGGACCGACGGACATGGGTGACGACAATATACGCCCCCCATTTCATGTGGGCGTATAAAAAGTTTAGAAAACCTTTTTACAATCCCTTTAAAGCAAGATATGCTTGTTATTTCAATCTTTGTATGGTTTTTTCTATGAAGGTGAATTGTTGTTAGAAAGTGGGAAATGATGATTCTTGACTTAGACATGTACAGAATATAAACCAACTGATTATTGAAGGAATTGTAAAGAGTATTAGTTAGAAACGTGCAATTGGTAGAAAAGTAGACAAAAATTAGAATTATGTTGTTTGTTTAAAGAGAGAAGCCATGTTTCTACGGTTGATTGTGTTTGTAATTGAAATAAAAAAACTGAGAAATAAGGCTAGATCATCTAACTAATCAAATACCTTAAGCAATGTAGACTATGTTAAAATGAAATATTTAGAGCTGTATTTTTTTCAATTGCTTTGTGAACACTCCAAATACAAAGCCAATTTATCATCATGTAATCTAAATAATTGAAAATTAAATCCAGCAACTATTCTCATTCTGTTGGATGGCTCCAGTTGCTACAGGCTGTGCACGTTAAAGATCTTCCTACAGATGGAAATTGAAAAAGAGTAGACATTTCCCTCACTGCATACTGCATGGTGTGCTTCATTATCCCACATGGTGCAGAAAAGTAAGATGCAAAACTCAATTAAATTAAAAAGTTTGACATGGTTACTTCAACTGTTAAATAGTTGACATAAAATGTAATGAAGATGGAAGATCGTGTAACTTGATATAATGAAATATGACACAAGAGAAGAATAGCTTGGTTACAAATAGAAAGGATATGTCACTGACATAATGTTAGTTTTAATGAGAAGCCAACATTGATATTGACGATATTGAATTCACATTTAAAGGGGCAGATTCCCCATTTTCGGAGGTTGATTTGGCTATGGAAATCAAGGAAATATTCTTCAGAACTGTAAGAAAATTGCATAATTCCTTGCAATATACCTCAAACTAAGAATTTCACTTTCTATTTCTCTCAAAGTCAAAAGAAATGATGAGTCGTCATTTTAACTCTCAAACGTGGATAATTCTGGACCCACGTGTTTGAAGCCTCAAATTTCGACGGTGAGCTGTGAGAACTATTGCTTATTAGCTCAGCTAAAAATTCCTGTTTCTGAGACTATTTTGAAAAGTCGTTGATAAGTTAAGAATTTAACATATAAATTATATAGAGAATGAATTCAACCGACAACCACGCTGGTGACAAACTAAATTGAGGCTCTTGCATGCACTCATGCGCAAACATGCTCTCTGTCCATATTTGGCAATCAGCCAAGTTAACAAAATTATAATTAGTCAAACGAATGGCAAATTTGTCCCATTAAAGGGATTGCTAGGAGGTTACTGTCCACTAGGGAGACTGATAGAATCCATTTATGCAATACCAATTTCCAATGTCAATTGCGCTTTTTCAGGTATAGGTTAATAAGCTTTTACAAGTTAATTTTCAGGAATATTTTCTGAATTTTTCGAGATCGACATGGGATTTGAAATACAGAAGCTGTATATTATGGATGTAGTGTTTCTATCTATCGCATCACTGCCTAGAATAAGATAATATACTATTTAATTTCCCTGAATATTTATTAGTATTAAGAAAGAAAATAGAAGTAATTGAAGTTAATTGTTCGTTATCTTATTTGGATTCCATTAATAATCAAATTTATATTATTCTGTTACAGAATGTGCATTGATGATGAGATGATTGAAGTGAGAGTTATCTGCCCTGTTACTAAGTGTTGTGTGATGGTAGAGGGAGCAGTTGTAACATGCCGGTTACTCTACATTTATTAACCAAGGTGCCGTCAGATCCAGGTTAGAATTATCTCCCTTATCTTCCAATTTGCTCTTGTATTCTTGAAAACAGACTTTTTTCATGACATTCCAGTTTAAATCTGCTTTTCGAAATAAATATATTTTTAAAAAAATAACAAGTATATTAATACATAATCTTTAAATGCTAACAACCCAAAATCTTTATAGACCTGCAATGCCACAATACTGAATTGATTGTAAAAGATAAACCACTGCAAATTGGTCTTAAGGACATTTTAGAATCTGTTCAACTATAATTTATAATTCAAAATAGAAAAAAATGAATGATGCCACACTAGAGTATGCACATATTTCTATATATTATTTAAGGAATGAATGTGGATCTTGTTATCGTTATGGGGAAATAAACGCTGGTTTATCATGTGACAAGACGTACATGACCCGCTTCGCCGGGTCATTTGTCTCCATAACGATAACAAGATCCACATTCATTCCTTATATTTGCATTGGTTTATCTTTTGTGATAAAATACGCTAAAATGTTCTATTTTTTAATTGTTAAAATACCCGAAACCGTTGTTGCTTAATTCACCGATATCTGTCAATCAAGTTCACCAACCCGCCCCTAACAATATAGTTTTATAAATAGACAGTCTTATTTGGATGATAGAATTATCAAATATTTGATATTCCATTGAAATATTAACAACAATTGTAAATTTAAATAAATTGTAAAATTAGATTAGACTCTAGGTAAAAAACTTGGGTCAATCCTTGTTTTCGTTTTCGATGTATTCATACGCCTTATTGTCACGTGACAAACTACAGTTATTGGAAAATAAACGCCGCTAACTGGTTTATTGAAGGGAGTGATAGTAGAAATGTAAATATTTGTAGATGCTCAGAAGTTATTAACAGCTCTCCCCAGTTTAGAAGCTCGGCTGCCTGGTAAAGAACATGCTGTAGCTTTCTTACGTAGATTTTTACGTTCTAAAGATTTACACAGAACCTTACATGTAAGTTAATGTAGGTTAATATATCTGAAAATGATGTTGGCAGTCTGAGATGAGTTGAGTTCCAGAGAGACAATAATATTTGTTATAGGTGTCTTTGTACTGAAGAATAATTGTTGACTGCTTGGGCCTGTTCATTTAGTTTAACTAGCTCTTAATGAGAACTTTATAGTGCAAATATTTGAAAGCTTACCTCTATTTCTCAACATAGCTTTTTTGATAAGGTCTTCATATTTGAAACATGTTTATGAAGTCAAGATTGCACTTGCAGATTTAATCAATATACTTATCAAATTAATATACTTTGTAGACCTACCGTAAATTATTAGATGTAGCTGGTATGAGAGTATCTGCTGATTTTGCTGTTTCTCAAGCTGCTGATGTAAGTCTGATGAAATCTATTTCCTGTAATACTTCTTGTTGGCTTATCTCCTTTTTAAGGCTAATCTGCTGATGGATACGAATGTTAATGGTAATCAAAAAAAGCAATGAACCTAATAATACTTGACCTAACGAATAAAGAAACTTGACTGGATAAATATCAAGAAAGAATAAAAAAAACTCTCGATAACAAAAGCTATCTCACACCAGGTTAATCATGATAAAATATTTTAACAGACTGGATATTAATAGCTATCATTTCAGGTATTTTGTTCAATACGATATTTACAAGACGATAAAACAGTGAAAGAATTAATGAAAATCTTATCCAGACCACATTTACAGGTAGGAACTATTACCTCCCCTTGTTGCTTTCATCACGAGCTGTATGGAACATTCATATTCATGCAGTGGTTATTTCCCTTGATATAGCAGAAAGGCTTATTAGGAACTAATTAAATTTGCATCTTATCAGCGAAGCCAGATTAAGGTTATTTTATGGAGCTAAATGTCATGGGTAACCTGTGATCATTGTTATCATAATGTATAATGTTATATCAGGGTATTTATTATTTGCCAGGCATTGCTATACTGTTATGATAAAGTAACTAATCATGATTATGAACCGAGAATTGAACCTCTACCACTAGGAGTTGATGAGGATGAGGCAGCCATTAAAATTGTCAGATTAATTAAAACTAACGAACCTCTGGTAAGTTTTGTTGTAAAATTTGAGCGTGAAGGAAAGGGAAACTGTTTTAAACTATTGTATCTAGTGTTGCCATCCTCATATTGCTCTCAACTAAAGTTTACTTCTATTATTTCTAAGTTTTGAGAAAACCTCCATCCGTCTGGACAAATGGGTTAAACTTCAATAAATTTTTTCCAGGGAGCTACTATAGCTGTGAAAGAAGAAGGTATAATAGAAGTAGCTAGAGTGTTACATGGTGGAGCTGCAGACAGGAGTGGTAAGGATAATTTTTTACTGAAGGGCAATGGGAGAGAACCATTGTCTATTTCATAATAAAACATTAATTATTACCGGGATAGATGTCAAGGAAATGAAATGTTCACACATTCAGGTCATGGGCAACTGGCTTCAATAAGATTTTAACTGGTGAAGATTTTGAGTCACAGAATGTAATTTATTCTTCAACCAGAGTGCAATGAAACATTATGATTAATAAATGAATAATTTCAGGATTGATAAATGAATAATTCCATGATTAACAAATGAATAATTCAATGATTAATAATGGTGAATAAATGAATAATTGCATGATTAATAACTGAATAATTTCAGGGTTTATAAATGAATATTTTCAGGATTAATAAATGAATAATTTCAAGATTAATAAATGAATAATTCCATGGTTAATAAATGAATTATTCAATGATTAATAATGGTGAATAAATGAATAATTCCATGATTAATAAATGAAAAATTTCAGGGTTAATAAATGAATAATTCCATGATTAATAACTTAATAATTCCATGATTAACAAATGAATAATTCAGCGATTAATAATAATTAATAAATGAATAATTCCATGAATAATAAATGAATAATTTCAGGGTTAATAAATAAATAATTACATGATTAATAAATGCATAATTTCAAGGTTAATAAATGAATAATTTCAGGATTAATAAATGAATGATTTCAAGATTAATAAATAAATAATTTAACGGTTAATAAATGAATAAATCCCAGGGCTAATAAATGCATAATTCCATGATTAACAAATAAATAATTACATGATTAACAAATGAATAATTTCAGGATTAATAAATGAATAATTCCATGATTAATAAATGAATAATTCCATGATTAATAAATGGATAATTTCAGGGTTTATAAATGAATAATTTCAGGATTAATAAATGAATATTTTCAGGATTAATAAATGAATAATTCCATGTTGATAATTGAATAATTCCATGATTAATAAATGGATAATTTCATGGATAATAAATGATTAATTCTATGATCAATAAATGAATTATTTCATTGTTAATAAATGAATAATTCCATGATTAACGAATGAATAATTTCAGGAGTAATAAATGAATAATTCCATGATTAATAATTTCATAATTTCAGGGTTAATGAATGAAGAATAATTTCAGAGTTAATAATAAATGAATAATTAAATGGTTAATAAATGGATAATTCCATGATTAATAAATGAATAATTTCATGATTAATAAATGAATAATTTCATGATTAATAAATAAATGATTTCATGGTTAATAAATGCATAATTTCAGGGTTAATAAATGAATAATTTTGAGGTTAATTAATGAATAATTTCGGGGTTAATAAATGAATAATTTCAGGATTAATAAATGAAGAATAATTTTAGGGTTGATAAATGAAGAATAATTTCAGGGTTAATAAGTGAATAATTACATGATTAACAAATGAATAATTTCTGGATTAATAAATGAATAATTTCACGGTTAATAAATGAATAATTTCACGGTTAATAAATGAATAATAATTCAAGGATAAATAAATGAAGAATGATTTTAGGGTAAATGAGTAATTTCAGGGTAAATGAGTAATTTCAGTGTTAACAAATGACTAATTTCAGGGTTAATAAATGTAGGAGATGAAGTGCATGAGATAAATGGTGTTGGTGTTCAGGGATTACAACCAGATGAAGTTGTTGATATTTTGGTAAGTGACACAGGATTTTGGGATGGTTTCTATCCCGAAACTTGGATTGCAAATCTTGGGACAGACTTATTTAATGAAGGGTGAAGGGGTGGGGGGGAGACAACATTCAGGGTGGAGATTGCAATTGCTTTAGCGCTTTGGAAGCCCCTCTAATAGAGGACTTGAGGTAGTTCTTCTCCTTAAAAAATATTGAAAAATATTGATCTGGTTCATATTTTGAGGAAAAAAGCATAAACAAAATGTTTTGAAATTATTTGACATCATTTTTGATGTAATAGAAATGTTCCTTATGAAAATGTCCATGTATATAAATCATGCTTGATTTTGTGTTTATTTCAGTCACGAATTACAGGTCCAGTCACTTTAAAATTAACACCTAGTGTTAAACTACCCTCAGGTACTAGAGAATGTAAGGTATGTATTGGACATATCATTGTTGACACCATAACACATTATCATTAATAGATGGGAGTGGCTTCACTTTTTAAGTAGCTACGTATAATGTGACAAATTTTGACCATCAAATAATTTTTATTACACATCATAGGGGATGCTGATATTAATACTAATAAGGAGTTTGTGTGTGTGATCATGATTACAAAATAAACTGATGTAAAAGTGTATTGATTGTCCAGTTTGAAAATGCAATGATATTAGTTTTCCTACTAAAGTGAAACACAGTAAAAAATATGTAATGTAATAGTTTTGGACATGTTGAAGAGACAATACTATAGCCAATTTGGAATAATTGCAGACAAAGTTAACAGTTTGATATTTTTTCAGACAAGAGTGAAGGCGTTGTTTGATTTTAATCCACAAGAAGATGAGATGATCCCATGTCCAGAAGCTGGTCTTCAATTTACGCAGGGTGATGTCTTACATATCGTAAGTCAGGATGACACAACATGGTGGCAGGCTCGTAGACACGGTGATACTAAAAATAGGGCAGGAATTATTCCAAGTAAACAGCTTCAAGAACGGAAAGAAATGATCCGTCGTCTGGCAGCAAAAGTTGAGGCAGAAAAAGCCGAATCACGTAAGAATCATTTCTCTTGATTCTGAATATGGAGGAGTTGTTTTTGTAGACATCATATATTTGTTGATAATTTTTACATTGGTTTTGAAATTTGGAAACAACCTGAGATCTGAAATGTGCATAAATTAAAGTAGGATATGTATGCAAAAGTTTGCCAAATATTTCAAGATGGGGATGTTGAAGCCTATTTTTATCAGCAATTCTAAAGGGATAATTGAAATAACAGTATTTATGGTTTTTTAATAACAGGGCCAATCAGTCCATGTCAATACAGTCCCAGAATACCTCGTCAAAAACGTCTTCGAAAAACCATGTATCATGCAATTCAAAATGGAGGTGAGTAAAATATTCTTGGTTTGTAGTTTCCAATCAAAAATTTCAACAACCTTTCCCTAGGAGATTAAATATACATTGACATAATACACAAAAACATAAACCAACATTTAATGCCATTTTAGCAATTTGAAATTTGCTTTTGAATTCTGTTAAAATTCTTAGTTCTGAAATTTGATGTGTTATTTTGTAGAGTATGACACAGAAGAAGTTCCTACATATGAAGAAGTAGAACTTTATAAAGTTAGACCCAATAGATTTAGACCTATACTGTTAGTAGGTAAGAAAGAAAACCAAGTTACCCACAGAAAATAATGAAACAAAACACTATCAAATGTTGTATTTTAATCAGATTGTAAAAATGTATTTAACAATGTTATAGTTTTTGTAATATCATTTGTAATAAAATGTAATAAATTTTGGTCTGGAATTTATTGAATAATGATCAGAGTTACCAAATTTCATCAAAATTTGTTAATCTTCTTACACTTCTGTTTTTTGTGTCAATTTGAATCAAGACGTTGCAATTTACCTATTGACTTGATTAATTGTTAAATATATTTCAGGTGCCCCAGGTGTAGGTAGGAACGAATTAAAACGAAGATTAAAGGCCAGTAATCCAGGGCATTTTGAAGAAGTTTTACCACGTAAGTTTGAAGCAGATTCCTCTTGTGGGGGACCAATCACTATCTTATTTTTCTCCTGTTCAGTGACTTTAATGTGATCATTTGTCCAACTAATTGACCCAAAGTCAGCTATCCAGATAACTGAAGTTAAATGTAAATTATATACCAGTAATAAGTAGATAAAGTCTTGTAACTTTGATTAGCTGTTATTGTCATTGTAATTACAGATACATCACGTCCAATTCGACCGTTTGAAGTGGATGGTAAAGAATATAGATTTATTCCTAGAGACGACATGGAAGCTGAAATTCTTGCTCAAAGGTATAGTATATTCTTGGATCAGTGGCGTAGTGAGGATTTCATTGTTAGAAGGCCATCTGAACATTCGTTTGCGGATTATAGAGGGCACTAGTCATAATAGTCATTGAAATAAAATGGCATTTCACTATTTGTGGATTTTTATCATGCATGCACATCCTTAATGAATTATTCATTGAGGGATAAAAATGTCCAGGAGATTCTCTTTTACTCCTAAGGGTCATTAATACTGGTGGCTCAACTATCACAGGGACTGGTTGAACCTAGTCAACGGCCCCCAACCCCAGAAAAAATACTAATAAAACTGGCCCAATTCATCTGGTTGAGCCACTGATAAATACCTCAGGATGGGAACCAAGTCCAAATAGGTTTTAAGCAATATGAGCTATGTTGTATTAATCATATTAATTTAATAGTTTTGTTAACCAAGCCTTTAGACAATATTATCATATAGAGTTTATATTTATTTATTGTAGATATGCTGAATATGGAGAATATAAAGGAAATTTATATGGGATACATATAGATTCTATATTATCTGTTATTCAGGATAAAAAAGTTTGTTTACTAACACCTCATCCACAGGTAAAAAATTTGCAAAATCTTTAAAGACAACTGAGGGCAGGGTGTTGCTTAGTTAGTTTTAAATTGCTTGTATATTAACAAACTAGAAAATCTTTTGTTGTAAACAATATTTTATTTATATAGAATGGTTTTGCCTATATTACCTCTCTCCTTAGAGAAACTAGAATATATATTATATAATTGTATTTGTGTCTTTTTAACTAAAATCATACTAGACGTATAATTCTTTCATAATTAGTTCACACCAACGGCGAATGCTGCGCTTTAAATCGGCGAGCAAAGCGCCATCATTTTTTGTTTACTTTTCCAAAAATATCACGATCTCCTAAGTAATGTTACGCTCTGATAAGCTTTGATACGAATTGGTTACGCTTTGGGGACGAATTATTTCCCGATTTGATCAGGCCTTGTTAAGGTTTAAATCACGCTTTGATTAGCTTTATTAAGCTTTGATGCGGTTATGATACGATTATCAAGCTCTGTTGTGCATTGTTAAGCTCTGTTACGCATTGGACAATTTTGAGATCGCTGATTTCATGCCGCTTTTGATCAAGTGGTGACAGACCGTGAAGACTGGGGTCCCCGCTTTGAATAAAGATCTGTTAAGTTCTCCTACGCTTTGAGTCAAGCTTTGCTGAACTTTGTTAAGCTTTGATACGTTCTCGGCGCTTAAATCAATTCGTGACAGAGCGCCCAAAATTTTTAAACAGTTTAAAATTTTTTGGCGCTCTTGCCGAATATCCAGCTTTGCTCAAAGCTTTCTAACGATCTATTACGACCATTTAGTCGAGCTTTGGTACCGCTTTGTATGCCGCTTTAAAGCGCCATCCAAGCGCCGTTGGCGTGAACTGAGCATTAATAACTTATATATTGCTAAGCTATCTCTGACCTAGACTCGTCTCAATACACCCTAACACTGCCATCTAGGCAAGTGCCCATTTGAGACAGTGTTCTCATCACCACCTAACACTACGTAGTTTTATGATGTAATTATAGGCGCTGAAGTTAATGAGAACTAGTGAAATCAAGCCTTATATAATATATATTAAACCACCCAGTCTAGAGAGATTACAGGCTACCAGAGCAATTTCTTTAGCACGGTGTACTAGCAGTGATACAGATGATACCAAATTATTTACGGTGAGTTAGTATTATAAGGTGATTTACTGTGCTGGACACCCTTTAAAAATTGAATTGCGTCAACGAATGAATGCACATATAGATTGTATATATATGATATAGATTATTAATATTTGTAAAACTATTAAAGGTAGAAGAGTTAAAATCAGTATACACATGCGCATTAAAAGTATCTTGTCTTTGGTCATAACTACCACTATGGCCTTATATTTCAATGTCATATATTGAAGTTATAAGTACTTTCTGAATTTTAGTCCAGTATTATGTAGAGATTTTCTCAGTTCCAGGCTAAAATTCTACAGTATTTGTCAAGAAATATCATGGAACATTTTTAAAAATTCAAAAGAAAATGCCTTCAGAGAACATTATATATGTAATGTTTGCTATACATTTTTACCATAATTTAGTTTTGTATTTTTCAACTAACCTTTGGCAATAAATTTACAAACTTATACCATATTAAAATGACTGCACAGAAAAGGAGATTACGTATATCAACATAGAGGCATGTATAGTCTCAGAAGTATATTTGTGACTATTATAAATCTAACTCAGATATTCTCAAATAACTTAGCTTCAATATTTACCTCCAGTATAAGTCTTCTTCATAGTTCTATAATTAGCTGATTCATCATCTTATTTCAGACAGAGGAATTAGAAGAAATAATAGAACTCAGTAAAAAATTAGAAGAACGTTACAGCCATCTATTTGATCTAACATTAGTTAATGATAAATTAATGGACACTGTACGGGAACTCATAGCAATAGTTGACTCAGTGGAGAAAGAAGCCAAATGGGTACCAGTCAGTTGGTGTCAATGATGTTTACTCCATTTTAGGCCAAAATTTTTGTATTCCATTTTAATAAAGCTGTATTTTTGTATCCCTTTCTCTTTTATTACTACAACAAATATCCTGAGTTTGATCTATTTTTATCTTTTTAAAGTTCATTCATCTTCTGTTCAGTCAGTGACTCAACTACTAAAACAAGGGAGGGGCCCAACCCGCTTAGGTCCAGGGGGCACCCACTCATCTAGTTCACCCACTGTGTATTCCGTAGATCCATTTGGCTGACCTTTCAGTAGCCCTACTTGGAAAAAAGGGAGAGGGGGAGAGATGGATCAATACCTTTGATGACATTTGATATGATTATAGCTTCACATACAGTGTCCAGCTGTTAAGCTATGCTACAGAGTATCCCACTTCCTGAACTTTCAGTTGTCAATGAGAAACGTATTTGTAGTCTGAACTCTACATATTTAAAAAGAGTTACTCCCCCTTAATTATAATCTAATGGTTTCATGGTTTCAATCTAAATCATTAGCTGCTATTAAACTTGAATTTAAAACTCACAATCATTGTATTTAAGAACTGAATACGATTAATCAACCAAATTCAGTTTAATATGAAATGATTTTTGGAAATTTCTCGGCAAGCTGCTTTGAAGTGTTTCAACCACTAAATCATTTAAACTTTGTTGGAAGCGAAGGGCCGCACCCGTTATTCGCACAATGGACCTTTATTGCAACATGTATACTAAAATATTGTTTTATTGCTCTTGTTTGCGCTCTTTAGTCGAACCCTCTAGGCTTTATTTAAAAATCATCTCTAGTAAAATTCTATTCACTAGGAAATTTGTCAATTTAAAATTCTTTCTTTTGATAATTTTGTATCTTACACAAGGTCTATTTACTTAGAATTGATTTTTCATACGATCTTGTTGATGCAATTTGTCGGCCTTTTATCACATTTCTTTGAGGTATAAAGATCAAAGCGTGCCGACGGAGTAAATTAATATTAGACGAGTTACACCAATTCAATAATATCTTTCAATTTTGAAAGCTGATACAACAGCAATAATAAACACTAGATAATGAAATATGCTTTGAAATATTTTATAAAAATAATACATTGTTAACGTTTCATTTCTTACAACTTCTTTGAATGTTATATTTTTAAAACGACTCTAAAGGAATGTGAATTAAAGAGAAGTTTTTTTTATCAATATCAAATTTAAAAATGATAATAATAAGAATATTACCTATATAGGTAGAGAGTTCATGTAATATAATATCTATCAGTATAGATAGATAGCTTAGACCCGAGAAAAACCATAACGCCATCCATAGCTTTTACTATTCCAATTAATAGATGACCTCGATTAATGTTGTTAGAGACGGAGAATAGAATTCACCAGTTAGATTGAAGTGGAAACGAATTGAAGTGAATGGAGCTTTACGTTCTACTTTTCTGCACCATGTGGGCTAATGAAGACGAGCAACGCCATGCATGGTACAATGAGTTAAAGTTTGCTAAGACAGTGGCATTAGCCTTCTCATTTTCAATTTCCAACGTGGATGCGGTTTATTGTCCCATCCGAACAAGACGCTTTTTCTATGTTAGCCCCTCTTTCCTGCATCACTGACAAGGGCAAACCGGGTTGAAAAATCCGAAGGTATCATCTCGACCTATGACGGGATTGACCGCCAGGTTAGCGAGCAAGCGTCTAAATCACTGAGCCACCGCTGCTCCCGATTGAAAGGTGGAGAACGAGGAAATTCCATTTTGGAGGAATTGTCCAAAAGCGATTTTCGCATCCTAGGTATAGCACTATATTTTACTATTCCAACTAATAGATAGGTGACCTCAGTTAATGTTGCCAGAAACCTTAAAAGAATTTATCATTTAGATTGAAAGGTGTAGAAAGATGAAAGGCGAGTTAAAGAAACACAAAACGAAGCAGATATTGTTGTTGTCAATCAACGACCAGAAATCGGAGAAATAAAATCGTTTTATAAACAAAGTTTGAAGTTATAATTATTATTCTATGGTTTAATTCTGGGTTATAATAGTTAGTGGATTGAGTTTTGTCTTAGTAATGATATCGTCAGGCAAGGGAACAAACGCCCACGGTGCTCAATTAACCGCAAGCTCGTGCTGGTCCATCAGTTAGATATTCGTGCTACCTTAAAGGGATTGTAAAGAGGATTTCTTAACCTATTCATTTCTCTTGATAACGCTGCCTGTATGAGCATGTGAAACGTTGAGTTAATAAATACAGAAATAGTATATCCATATAACTTGTGCTTCCTTTAGGTTTTCTAAACTTTTTATTTGTGTACGAGGACACTGATAGAACCCATCTGCACCATTTTCAATTTTCAATCAGACGTCTCTGGTTCCTGTTATTCCACTTAAACTTAGTGATTGATGGCGTCACTTATCGCTAAAGGCCCTGCGTGCATTTTTTGCAGTTAGTGACGTCATAAAACACCTGACGTCTGTTTGAAAATTGAAATGGTGCAAATTGATGCTATCAGTGTCCCCAATACACATGAAATATTAAGAAAACCTCTTTACAATCCCTTTAAGAAAGTAACAAAACGTTACTGGCAATGTATCGTAGACACTCATAGCTTCTAGTTGCACCATTCCGATTCCTCGTCTGAAATATATCTTATCCCAGAAGACCTTGACCATATTCTGACGTCACTCATTATTAGGGTTTTAAGGTATCGTGTCCCCGTTTTTTTTTTATATACGGCTCTATGGTACCTTATTGCCATGTACAATGTATATAGCTTGGATACAGTAAGTAGAAGTTATCATCATATAATAAAACTGACATAGGCTTACAAAGAAATTATAGACGACCGTATCCCTTTAATATCAAAGCTGATATCATTTATTCCATTAAAGATACTTCCCGTCACAGTTTGAGACTGTAGTGGAAGTAGAGTTGATATCTGGCCCACCCGCTCACAGACTGTCATACCCACTTACAACACAAACTGATAATCATATCTCTCAATGACTTTAATGTCTTGTGGAAGGTTGTTTAGGTACAAAGTCATTGACAGTTAGCTACGGTTTCACTTCGAAACAATTAAAAAACAATATATATTTAAATTTAAAGTTTCAATTTATTTCATAATGCTTTTGGAAAATATAATGTGAATTTTTGTGGTTTTATCTTTGTCTAGTGTCTTTGTTTCTATGAACTCACTCACTTACTCACTCATCCAGAAGAGTTGGTCCACCCGATTCATTCAAATTGTCAAAAACAACTTAACCTGCGCGGCGTTCATAAATTACAAGACCCTCAACATTAGCTAATAATGTCATCATTGGCTGTGAATGGACAACAAGGCGCCATCTTCACTATAATGTCTTGTGATAGGGTACGGCTGGTGTTACAACTTCAGGTTTATTCGATGCTCTTCAATCGTAAAACATCATTGTCGTGGTATGGACACCAACAATATTTTGAAAATGTCATTGTCGTGGAAGTTGCGTGGGTAGTGTGTAAATCGGGACAAATCACTAAACAACTCGTTGTTGATGTTTCCAGTCGTATAATTCTGATAAAATATGACGAATGTAGTTATGGTGTGGCCGCCGACTGTTGAGTAGTCAGAAACTGTCAGTAGTAAATAAGGTTGATAAAGTATAATTCTAAGATGACCTGACGTTATCATCCGACCATAAACCATGGCCTCCCCTCACTCCAGCATGGGTTGTCTACAGGAAATAACACGGTTTGCCATTATCTACATGCCATAAACGAATTCCCCTAACCCTTGCTCGGTATGTCCGTCTTCATTCTGATACAGAACAGTAAGACGTTTTCGGTTCATGTCAGGAGAAGACCTGCGACATCGTTACGGTGACGAAAGCTTGTTGCAGAACCATGACGGTGAAATATTGTTCGAAATTACAAAAAGAAGTTATAGAGCAGTAGTGATGGCTCTTGTGGAGGTTCTATTCCCAAAACACTCCAAATTATGCTAACCCTTACTGCGTTTTCGCTGCATAAGTGATTTTGGCCCGAAGTTCGAAGAAGTCAAACCATTTTGTTTTGACACCGTGTGAAATCCAGGCGTATTTATCATAGAGCAGTACGAGACAAGGTCAAAAGACCAACAAGGACAGTGTCTACCAGCAGTGTCCGAAGCCCAATGTTGTGAAACATACAACTAATAAAAACAATGTATGTTGACATTGTGTGAAAGTCAGATGAATAGATGATAGACCACGTCGTGGCCAGGTCAGTAACATGTTCAGATTGACGCTTAAAACATGTGAATAAATACAATTCAGATGAAATATCCTGAGAAATTTCGAGAGTAAACAACGGCTGTTAAGACAATACGTCTATGGTAGGCAGGCCTTTAGCCAGACTTAATTATTTGGAGGGGAAGTAATATATTCAGAGGGGCAAAAGGTGTATGGCGTCTAGTTGCAGTAATGGAATTGGCCGGTTGTCAGAATATTTTCCGGAAAGGGGAGGGGTGGGGGGTCTTTGCCAGAACCGTCAAATAGTCTACAGCGAGGTGGTCACGGAAGATTGCAATTTGGGGTAAAGTTGGCTGTAGAATCTACGAAACTGCACAGTCATGCATACAACTTTCTGTAAAATAAGCTACCCTACTGTGTAAAACGGTAGCAAAAGTGAAATTCCCACACAAAGTGAGGACGGAATGATGGATGAGAATGAAGAAAGTTTTGACAAGCTGAAATAATCTTACAGTAAAAATAAATCGAGATAATCTATTTAGTCGAGAGGTGGGAAGCCTCGAGAGGAAGTGAATGAAGCCTGCTTAATTATTACGTTTCACATCTCACAATGTAATCCGCAAATTCGGTTGAACAAATAGAGTTTTACGCCCGGTTGTAAAGGTTACATCTTTGAGTAAAGATATATATATATATATACAGTTATATACCCTACTGTTATGTAATTAATTGGGTATTTACTATTCAAGTAAGCGCCTTTTAGGGTTTTGTTCAGTATCATGTGGGATTTAGTCAAATTAAAGGTGTTTTTGTCCGCTAGTTTGACTTATCCTGAAATATTGCTACCCTACATAATTTAATGAATA